GGAAGTGAGGAAACCTTCTTCAACACAGTTTTTCTTCTTTTTTTTTTCTGTCCTTTTTTCCCCCCATTTCCATTGTATCTTCTCGTTGACGTCGCAAAATTTTAACGGATGTCACAATAGGATGCAATACTACGGCAGTACACAATTTTGTTTTTAAACACCATTTGGGGCCTGAGAATGAATCTTCCGCTACAACATGGACAGATACACCGCCATATATTTCGTCGTCTTTTGTGCATGTACGTGAGTAGTGAAGCGAGGCCCTCGGACACTGCTACAACTACAAATCCAATCAAAACTATTAAACAATCAAAGGGTTCATATACTCGCACTTGGCCTCTTCCAACTGACTTGGAGGCCGTAATTACAGTCACGTACACCGACGAATGGCCGTAATTGCGGTCAGATACATGCATCCCGGAAAATCTCCTATGGTGAATAAATATATACGCACAATCTTCTCTTCAAGATACACGACCTGAATGATAACTCCTATACACTGATGATCAGGGTGCATTGTGTTTGGGAGAGGGAGAAGAGGGGGCGGTAGTCAACGATAAGGAGCAAAAGGGGGAGGTAGCAGGGCGAAGGTATGCCGTCCGCCATTCATAACTGGACTGGACATCCCCTCACCCAAGGATCCAGATGATGACCCCTCCTCCGAACGCAATCCTCACTTCAGAATTGTTTTCCTCCTTACACCCATAGTCACTCTCCCTCCGCGCTTCTGGCCCCGAGGGAGAGCGAAAAATTTCACAACCTACTTGTTCTTTTCACATTGTGTTTACTCTTCTCTCTCTCTTTCTCTCTCTCTTGGTGCTGACCTCGACATCTCTCTCTCTCTCTCTCTCTCTCTCTCTCTCTCTCTCTCTCTCTCTCTCTCTCTCTCTCTCTCTCTCTCGATGCTGACCTCCCTCTCAACTCCAAGCTGCGCAAAACGTAGACATGAACCAACCACCATCGGCATCACCAAACCTTATACTCTACCGGTACTCCGTAGTGTTTCTCGCCTGCCTCCTTTCCTTCCTCCTCGCCATCCGTCTTCCTCCGCCTCCTCCCTCTTTCCCTTCCCTCTCCTCCTCGTTCCCCATCAAGCCCTTCCGCCCTCTCCGCTGCTCCTTCGTCCTCCCTCGCGTCCCTTCACCGTCCTCGCCCATTCTCCATCTCCCTTCTGCGTCGTTCCCTATGCTCCACCGGTACCCCGCCAATCCCCCTCTTCTTCTTCCTACTCTATTCCACATCGCCTATGCTCCACCGGTACCCCGCGAATCTCTCTCTTCTTCTTCCCACTCTATTCCACATCGCTCTTCTCCGTCCTCGCCCTCACCTCCCGCGATCTCCCTCTCTCCCTCGCCTCCCACCATCATCATGGACAGACGGATGGATAGGTTCGTAGATTGATTGATTAAGAGAGAGAGAGATGAATAGATTGATTAAGAGAGAGAGAGATGAATAGATATGATTAAGAGAGAGATGAATAGATATGATTAAGAGAGAGAGATGAATAGATGATTGGTTTACGGCCCTACATGATCACCTTCTTCATTGATTGATTACTAATTGGTAAAATGGATGTTTAAGGGGGAGACCAAGGGAGGGACACACGGATCTGTTAATTTTGATTGATTGATTGATTGATTGATTGACACAGAGAGAGAATCAAGCGATTGGTCGACAAGGCTCAACATCATGATCAACTCTTAGATTATAAGAATAATAACCGTAATAGCCTAATAGGTAAATGAATTAATTGCTTAATGAACCCATCAAGCGGGACCTTGATTGGTTATCGGATTACCAATCCACGATTGATGGACCAGCCCCAACGACAGGATCTTCTTCCCATTTCCCGTGCGCGCCTTATTTCTATGGTATTTTTTCTATGGTTGGTTAATTTTGACCGAGACGAGAATATTACGTAGTGTTAATTTACTTACGGCGCTCAAAAGGGTAAAAACAAAGTTCCGGCGCGTAAAAACCCAAAGTCCAATGCCTCAGAGATTTACGACAGTTTGCACACCCCGACGTCAGAACGACCTGGATGGCATTGGTGATCAGGTGCACGATCTGTACCTGGACAGTAAACATGTTCATGGACATTTCAAAAGTGGCATTGATAACACTGTCACAAAATTCCGTGACCGGAAAATGTCGTGCATGTTCTCTTCTTTGGTTCCTCCACAAAACGCCATAAGACTTTTTAAGTTCATCGACCCGCCTTGACACTCGTCCGGTCATTACTCAGGGAGAATGATCGAAAACTGGGCTTCGCTACACTACACACAACACTTGATATGTATCTGGACCCGGAAATTGTCCCTATACATTCAAAATGTTAGACTCGTCCGAGTGCAGCTGCTCCGCAATGCAGTCCACATACATGTAGAATGCCGCGTCGTGAAGCGAGGCCCATTAACTTGGTATATAATTTACTTCGTCGAAGGGGTCTCCGGGGATTTGGTCCGGGAGGGGGAAAGTTGAGGGAAGGGAGAGGGGGGGGAGGGAGGGAGGGACAGATAGATAGATAGATAGATAGATAGATAGATAGATAGATAGATAGATAGATTAGATTCGATTGATTAGATTAGATTAGATAAATCAGATAGGGGGGGAGAGAGAGGGAGGGAGGGAGGGATAGATAGATAGATAGATAGATAGATAGATAGATAGATCAGATAAGGGGGGGAGAGAGAGGGAGGGAGGAGGGATAGATAGATAGATAGAGATAGATAGATAGCTAGATAGATAGATATATAGATAGATAGATAGATAGATAGATAAATAGATAGATAGATTAGATTAGATAAATCAGATAGAGAGATTCGATAGAGAGAGAGAGAGACGAGAGAGGAAAGGGAGAAAGGGTGATGAACGTTCTCCTGGGTCGAGATTCCTGAAAGCGACGAGGAAGAGAGCAAGAGGAGGGGGAAAGGATGAAGCGCAAAAGAGAAGAGGAATACAGAATTACAATGCCAATCGATACAACAAACAATTCAAGCTAGAGATAGAAGAAGAAAAAGAAAAAGAAGAAGAAGAAGAAATACAAAAGAAGTCGCCACCATCAACCGGATATCAGCGTCCTCTACCGCAACTCACCTAAACGTTTTTTGGATACAAAATTTTGGTCTCCGGCATGACCTTTCCCGACAGTAACAAACATTATTACATAAACGTTTTTCCCTTACAGCGACCTAATTTTGCTAAGAGCCCCTGAATCGAGTGGAGTGAAAAGCCCGTGAGAGTTAGGGAGAGGTCCAGCCAGCCTATTCACAAGAGCGCGTACTTGGCGCCGCGAGCCGGGGATGGGCGGGAAGAGAGAGAGAACGAGAGCGAGGGGAGAGAGGGATAAATGGAACACAGACAAAAAACAGGCAGGATAGACAGACAGGAAAGACAGACAGGAAAGACGGCGAGCTACCACGTGTCACGCGCTAGGGAAGGGAAACGAGCAGGGAAAGAAGATTAAAGAACACGGGACAAGAGACCCGAACGAGGAGAAAAAAAGAATCGACAGGCGATGAGGGGAGAAAGAGAACTGCTACACGCTAAAGGCAGCGAAAAGAGAGAGAGAGAGAGAGAGAGAGAGAGAGAGAGAGAGAGAGAGAGAGAGAGAGAGAGAGAGGATGAGGAGAGACAGAGAACTGCTACACGCTAAAGGCAGCGAGAAGAGAGAGAGAGAGAGAGAGAGAGAGAGAGAGAGAGAGWGAGAGAGAGAGGACGAGGAGAGAAAGAGAACTGCTACACGCCAAAGGCAACGAGAAGAGAGAGAGAGAGAGAGAGAGAGAGAGAGAGAGAGAGAGAGAGAGAGAGGATGAGGGGAGAAAGAGAACTACACGCTTAAGGCAGCGAGAAGAGAGAGAGAGAGAGAGAGAGAGAGGGAGGGAGAGAGAGGAAGAGGAAGAGGAAGAGGAAGAGGAAGAAGACAGGGAGCAGGAGGAAAGAACGAGCGAATGACGTAAGGAGCTCCTGAAGAGTTAGAATCTGGAAGATTGGAGTAACAGGTAGTGCTGGGAGTAGCGGCCAAAAAGGGGGGGGGGGGGGGGG